TATCTATCTATCTATCTATCTATCTATCTATCTATCTATCTATCTATCTATCTATTTATCTATCTATCTGTCTGTCTATCTATCTCCAGTACATCACTGAGTAAAGACAAGCCCACAAAACTTACCCAGACACCCTCGTACTCACTGATGATATCACAGAGTCATAAATTGTTAATAACAGACCCGCACAAATAAACGATACTGAGATAACATAAAAATCTTATCTTATTTTGTCTTATATCGATTGAAGTGTCCCACAAAGTACTGATGATGACTGAAATGTGAAAGTACAGTGAAAATGGTGTGGACCGAACTTTCAAAACGGTTTGAATTAAAAAGGTGATGCTTTCCTGAAGTACATTGTTAACACGGACAAGTCATGTGGGCATCACCGATCGATGGAGTACAGGTAAAATGAACAGTTCGAGGTTATGATCTCTCCTTGAAAAGTGCTGCTTTTCATTTTCTGGGACTGGGGGGGCATAGCCCACATGAAGTTTCTGAAACAGCGGAAGAGAGTGAAAGGCATTTTGATATTGTCCACGTCTTCAAAGTGGGTACCTTGATGATCCCCTTGAGTCCCAACTCAGAGTCATATTGATCACTTTCTTTATTGTGAGGAGAGTGGTCCACTTCGAGTTGTTGGCACAGGACCAGATGATCAACCGGCATGTCTACAAAGAGATACTGCAGAGTTTGCTTCTTTCAGTGCATGAGAAGATGTGAGAGTTGAAGAGTGGTCTTTTCAAAACTCGGTAAGTTATTTTAGACAAGCACCTGGTTTCATCATGGTACAACACATACATAAAATCATAGTTTACTCATGTGTACATAATCATACAAACATTGGTCATAATTATATTATAAACGTGTGTGGAATCGTGGTGAAATCAGACGTTTGTCAAAATGGACTTACCGAGTTTTGGAAAACCACCCTTCAGTAGGACAACTCATGACTCCTTTACCATGACAAATCGCCTACTCACCATGCACTGAGCATCAGACAGTTCTAGGCCGAGAAGAATATCGCTGTGCTGGAACAATCTCCCTGCTCCTCCAACCTGGCTCCGGGTGATTTCTACCTTTTCCCT